ATATATATATATATATATATATATAAGTATATATATATATATATATATATATATATATATATATATATATATATATATATATATATATATATATATATATATATATATATATATATATATATATATATATATTGGGGGGAGGGACATTCAGGTCTAAGTGATTTTTTAGTGCGGACGTTAATAATCCCACTGAGAGGGAGAGCTTTTGGATTGAGAAACTTAATAGTTATGTCCCACGTGGGCTTAATTTAAGGGAAGAGGTTTAATTAATTTATGTATAACTAAACGTTAGACTATTTAAGCAAGAGACGGAGATGATGTAGCGTTATTCTGAAGAAGGGGCTTGTCCCCGAAACGTAAAAAATATAATTTAATTACTTTGAAGTTTTTGATTTCTTGATATTTATAAATGAAGATTTTTTGGGGCTGGCTCTTGATATATATATATATATATATATATATATATATATATATATATATATATATATATATATATATATATATATATATAAATATAAAAATACTTATCAAATAATAGATTTTTAAACTCTCGCATACCATTTAGCTGGTCAAGCAGGGTTGGTCGTTTGGGAACAAGTTAATAAATGCGAACGATATTCCTTATTGAAACCAGTCATCCAAAATTTCAAAATAATCTCGTCTTCGGGTTTGGCATCCAGGACTTTGAATAATCTGAAGCAAAACAAGTAAATCTGACATTGTTGGTTGACCTTTATTTATTTATTTCAAAACCGTTATAATGAAAATAGAATAGGCCTAACTTTTTTATTTCTTGGTTTACGGAACCAACGACCGTAAAAATCTCGAAAGTGAAAAAAGTTGAAAACACATGACCTGAACTGTCTGACCCTAATTGAATAAAATCGTTTGGCGTTATGAAATACTATTCTGGTCTGAAGAAAATATATGGGATGGCAAAGAGTTAGTTCTGCCATAAACAAGTCAGGGAGCTTTTATTTTTGCGACCTGCTGGCTATGTTTTTGAACTTAGTGATTTAGTTTTAGTTTTGTGTATGTGGAAATAAAAATTGTGATTTCAAGTCAGATAGATACGTTTAGAGAGTTTTTACTCAAAATTCAAGATGGCGGACTTGTATCCGAAACGTGCGCAAAAATGAAAGCTCCCTGACTTGTTTATGCATGGCAGAACTAACTCTTTGCCATCCCATATTTTCTTTTTGAAAAATATACATTTTGTTAAGACTTCCTTCATTTATGGCGGCAAAGAACAGGATATACCATTTTTATGGGAGGGGGCACTTTTTTGTCCACCCCCTGTATAATGATGAAGCTATAAACAAAGAAATTGTTGCTCATGCTACGCTAATGAAATAGCACTTTTACAGAATGAAGACATTCCTAAAATATTTAGTCAGGACACACAATGGCAACAGATGTAATAACAGTGTTTATTCTGAATAAAAATTTACTCTACTATACTATACTATACTAGTACTAAAACTGCCATGGCAAAACCCACCAATATTGTGGTGCCCTCCCACCCCACTCACTCTACTCCACCCCACCCTATCAATCAAAGCACATTTCATAATGTCGTTCGAGAACGATGAGGATGAGTAACAAATATGCATGCATACATTAGGGTGCGAATTAATTCTTGTTTGTCAAAATTGAAATTTTATAGGTAAAAACTATAGTATGGCCTACAATTTTTGAAAATAATTGTAGGCCAGAAAAATGCTAAATTTGCACCATGTACATCGCTAAATAACAAAACCTACAGTACCTTTCCTTTTCCTCTGACGTTCGTGGTCCTGATCTAGAGAACTTGAAAATCACTTTCACTTTGCTAAAAGGAAACGAAATAGAAGATAACATTAAGTTTAGTGTAAAATGTCACTACACTCGTCCTCTTCATACATGTAGTTTGTCTGTAAAGGATGCATGGTATATAAGCACCAAGGACTGTCAAAATTTCTGTGACAGTGTCGGAAGGGAATTGTTATGGGGGTGGCGGGGGGGGAGGGGGGGTGCTCAAACGAGGGGGGTCGAGGGCATGCTCCCCAGAAACATTTTGCGTTTCCCAAAATCCATTTCAGTGTTTCCTGAGAGGAATGTTTATCAATGTTATGAATTCCTGACATTTAAAAATTCAAGATTTTTTTAATTCACTCTATAACATTTTACACCTTCATCCCCCCAGTTTTGAGCATGGATGAATTGGTTTGGTTCCTGTATTGATATATGCACAATATCAATGTAACAACAAACTGTTACGGATAAGTTGATTGTAATGGACAACTTGCATGTTAGACTAAATTTTGGTTTTAATAAAGAGAAGGGAATCGAACACTACCGCTAAAAAGAACATAATGAAATTAGTAAAATTGCAAAATTTGGTTATGAAATGTTGTAAAATACGGAAAATATAGCCTTCCGAAGTTTGCAAATTTTGTATATGTTTGTATTACGTGCGGAAATTGTTATACCATTTTCGGCTCAAAAATGGTAACAATTTCCGCACGTAATACAAACATATACAAAATTTGCAAAATTCGGAAGGCTATATTTTCCGTATTTTATAACATTTCGTAACCAAATTTTGCAATTTTACTAATTTCAATAAGTTCTTTACGGGAATTTACTTTTTTGCCTAGATCAAAAATTAGTCTAACATGCAAGTTGTCTATTGCACGTGCAAGAAAGAAAGAAAGTATAAAAAGAAAAAAATCTTCATGAGTGAGGAAATTATTGGGCCCGTTTCCGACGGCCCTATATATCCTTCAAAATTTACCCATGCAAAATTCCTACTGCGGGCATGCGGGTATCACCCATGAGCAAGGTTCACCGTATGTGAGGTCATTGATGATACTGGACCAGGCAGGTTGAGGTTGGCAGGATGCTGATATTGTGCTGCTAACTATTGCGAGAGTATCGACACCGGATGGCTATCACATTGGAGAATATACTGAGAACACAATAAAAATTGAAAAATATCCAGGAGGAAATAAGATTAGCCGATTTCGAATGATATACTGTAATTTATACATTTTGCAATTTGAAAAAGCCATAATTCTCATTATTTTGAGGAAAGAATTTTTCCCCGGAAACATTTGAACACTTTTTGCAACTCAATCACATAAATTCTGACAGTGTAAAGGCCCGGTCACGCTACACAATGAAAACGATACGATTACGCGATGATTGCCAAAATATGTGTCCACGCTACGACGACAATGATAAAATTCTCGTTTGACGATAACGATTTTAAAATCGCTCACCCGAGCGATTTTTTTTCAGTTGGACGAAAACGATAAACTTTTGACCAATCAGTGCGTGTATACAGTACAAGTTCTCGTATCGTTATCGTTGTGTAGCGTGACCGGGCCTTAAACCAGCCATAAATAACGTGTTGTTGACAGTTTGGCGACTGTGGTCAATCCCTGCCAATCAGTGTCTTCTGATTGGCCAATAGCTTACACCTAAATATGGAAATCACGCAACCTACATAACAGCATAATAGATGGTTTGGAAACTCATTAGAAGAACAAAATAACCATTATGTATCTTTGTTAGTCAACGTTTATTCATAAATCTGGTCCTTCACCGTCACGTGCGTATTGTACTTTTGCCCAAGTAACCAATAACAATGTTTTAGGAAAGTTACCTATCCGTAACTCGAAAAATAGGGTAAAAACCTCATCCAACTACTGATTTATTATGTAACTCACTCCATCCATTCTTCTTTGAGAGCACACAGGTATTGATCAAGTACGCTGTCAGAAAAGTGCTTGTTTAGTAAAGCTTCTTCGATTTTCTTGAGAATCTGAGGACCTGGAAAAAAACGAATAATCAGGGCGACAACCAATTAGACAGCCTTGAACATACATGCCACTATACAACTTTGTCGCAGATAAATATACAAATTACTATTTTTAGGAATTTTTCTAAAATCAGGACAGGTATTTATGGCGAACAATAATGGACACAAATGCGCATAATGCTTTCTGACTCAGCAAAATGTTGGTCTGAATTACGAAAATAAGTCAATATGCGTGATTTATAAGAAAAAAATGTTCGTAGCATGATCAATTTTGTATGAAGTTAGCTAATTCGTTTCAATCTGTTATAAACAACACAAAATTTTATAGTTCCTAAACATTATGATGGATGTTACACTTCATTGTGATATACGACAACAATTTTAGACTGGCTCTATAGCTGGCGAGAATATGAAAATTGACACTCTTTTCGTCGTTGCCTTTGTTTGTCTTTAGCTAGCTTAGTATCTATTTTCGTGTTGTTCTGTCATATTGGCATACTCTCATACCCGTACGCGCGTGTTAACTACAATCCTGCACAAAACATCTGCGACACTTCCAATTGACCATTTGCGTAATAGACTAAATTTTGAACTAAACAAGTCTAGACAAAAATTTCATCACAGCTTGAAGGAGCATCACAAAATTAGTAATATCCCAAAGTTTCGTTGCAAAATGTTGTAAAATGCGGAAAATATAGCCTTGCGAAATTTGC